CTGGTGCCTGAGCTTCAAGCAGCCCCACCCTCTCCAAATAACAAATCACTGTGTTCTGCTTACAGGAGGATGGACCTGGGCAACAGACACGAGAGCATAGGTGTACTCAGGGTCCCATGGTAGGGATATGCCAGGTCCCAGGAACCAGGAGCACGCACTGCAGTGGGGAAATAGGTCCCGGCTGGGCACATCCCTTGGGCCCTGAAGATTATTCATCCTGTGTGTGGCAGGGGACACAGCTAGAGAAGCACAGAAGCCCCACCCCACCGCAAAGTAAAAGGCCTAGGCCAGGGCCAATCTTGCCTCGATCTAAGGGTGCTACTGTTTGGGAATGAGATGCTTCTAAGCACTTTCCCACAGTCCTGTCTCTTCTATGCTTTAAAACAACTTTTACTGGGGCTGGGGATTTAGCTCAGCATAAGTGCCTGCCTTGCAAGCAGGCAGTCGTGAGTTCGATCCCTGGTACCGATAAAAAGGAAAAAGACAAAAAAAAAAAAAAAACAACTTTTACTTTAAAATAGTTTTTAAAACCTTACTCTCAAAAAAAAAAATTAGGCTTGCAGAAAAGATGCAAAAAGCACTCAATGAATTCCCACTTTCTCCTCTCTTTTTCTTGGGAGTAGTATTAGGGACCAAACCCCAGGGCTCTTTACCACTAAGCAACATCCCCAGCCATTTTTATTTTTTATTTCAAGACAAATTCTCACTAAGTGTCCAGGTTGGCTCAAGTTTACAATCCTCCTGTCTCAGCCTCCCAAATATGTGTACATACCTATAATAAATTTTGCTGAACTACTTGAGAATGTGTTACAGACACTGCAGCATTTTACTTCTAAATCTTTCAGTGTATATTTTTGTGACTAAGAATTTTCTCTTAGCATGGCACAATGGTCGAAACGGGGAACTTAACATTGAAAATATAATTGTCAGGGCTGGGGATTTAGCTCAGCAGCATAAGCGCCTGCCTTGCAAGCAGGCAGTCGTGAGTTCGATCCCTGGTACCGATAAAAAGGAAAAAGAAAAAAAAAAGGAAAATATAATTGTCTACTGCACATTTCACATTCAGACTTTGCCAACTGTTGTTTTTTAAACATGGCAATTGGCTATTATGTTCCTTTAAATTCTTTTTATCAACATCCATTTCTCATCTTCCTTTATCTTTTATGATATTGATATTTTTGGAGAGGGCAGGCTAGTGTTTTTAGAATGCCTCTCAATGAGAGCTGTCTGATGTTTCCTCCTGATTAGATGCAGGTCATGTACTTTGGGCAGGAAAACTTCCCGAGTGATATTGTGTTCCTGGTACATCTCACCACGAGGTCCATGATGTCAGAGTGCCCCATTATCAGTTTGTATGTGGATTCACATGTAATATTAAGCCATCAAAACATCCTGCCATGTAATACTATTTGAAAAAAGCATACTTGTTTTTATCTTGTAATTTTGACCAAAATAGTATTGTCCAATAGAGAAGTACTATAAGTTTTCAAATGTCTATATTTCAACAACAAAATCAAGTCAAATTAATATTAATAATATATTCTATTACCTCACATATCCAAAATATAATTTTATCATATTATCAGTGTAGAAATTGTTAAATGAGATGATGTTCATTCTTTTTTTAAATGTGTGTGTGCTGTCTTAAAAAATCCAAGGTGTGTTTTTCACCTGTAGTACCTCTCAGCTCAGACTATGCACGCATACCAGCAAAAACTAGAACTTCTCAGCGTCCTATGAATGTACCACCATTTATTTAACTGCTTGCCCCTTTCTAGAAGTTATAATTATTTCAAAATTGTGTCATTACCAAAATAGTAATGCCCTGAAGAGTCTTGTACGTAAGTCTTTCTGTGCAAATCTGATTATTTCATTAGAATGCATTGCTTGGAATGCAGTGGCTTTACCAAAGTTATAACAGCTTTAAAGTTCCTCATGCTCCCAAATTGCTTTCTGAAAAGACTGTACAGACTTCCCAAACATCTATGAAAACCCGGTGTTATTAAAAGGTCCCACCCCTTCCCCACCCCACTCCTGTGCCCCCAAATTGCCAATCCTCTGGTGTTTTGATTTTCCATGCAAACAGCTAAGTGATCAGCACTGCCATGCTGGTTCCCTCCTGATGTCCCCCAGATGCACTCTGCTCTCCCTGTACCCAGGAAGCTGGCCTAGGCAGGATGCTGCGTCTGTGGACTTTTTTGCCTTCCAGCTTCCTGTTGGGCAAAGTCAGTGGAAAGCACTGGGTGCAGGATGGGAGGAAGGGCAGAGGGTGGAGTCCGGACATACATTTCCCAGGATCTCTCCCTCCTGTGTTGCTGTGGCTTGGCTGTGTCCTCCTGCTGTAGCTCTCCATGTGCAGAACCTTCTATGGCTTCCTGTGCAGGCTCCTCCTTTTGTCCTTTATGGCTTAGGTCATGGCTGTTCCACAGAGAGATGGTCAGATCACAGGCACTAGGAGAGCCTCAGTGTTTAGCTTCCGGGCCTGCAGCACAGAACAAATGCTTTTGGACAATCATTAATCTTTGCATCAGGGAGGCGAACAGAGCTCTGCTGAAGACACTTGTCCCGTGTACCTCCCACATTTCCTGTCCTAGATGCTTGAGTATATTGTGGGCCTCACTGGGAAACTGAAAGAACAAAGTGCAGAGGTGACATCTTCCTCCACAGCCCTGAGAATCTCACCAGCATTTACAGAGCAGCCACGCTGCGCACACCTGAGAATTCAGATGCTGGAGACGAGTGGTGCCAAAAGCATCCTCAGAATGAGTTCTTGAGTTCTGGAGGGATTCTGCTGCACAGCGTTGTGGTTACCCTCAATACTCTGCTATGCAAATAACTGTTGAGAGGGTAGAGTCCATGATATGTATTCTTATCACAGTAAAAATATGGATGCTTCTTTTTGTCATCCCAGTTAATACGTACAAACTAATTAGGCAATGAATGCTTTTTGGTAAGTTTAAGTGAAAACATTTTCCACTTTGGCCAATCATGGGTCATGGAGTCATGAAGAAGAGCCAAACGCATTAACACATCAACAAGCAAAAATGTATGATGAGTATTCTAAAATTCACAGAACCCATGGGAACTGGGTGAAAACTTTACTGCAACATTTACAAAAAGGCTTTTGTATCTTGGAATAAAGGACAAGTAGGGGCAAGGAGTGTCGTGTGGAGACAAGAAGTGTTGTTTTAAGCAGAGGGAAGAAAAAGACTACAAGGGATGCTCTGAACAGGAGCAAGCTCCAAGCATTAGAAGCTACGGGGCGAGAGTGCTGGATCCACCATGACAGGCGGAAGTCAGGTCAGGTGAGGCAGAGCCTTCTGGGTTAGTCAAGGAGTTTGTGTCTTTCTTTTAAAAAATATTTTTAAGAGCAGCATTGTTGGGGGAAAAAAAATACCAGAGAGAAAGAAGTTTGGAAAATGAAAAGAAAATTATTGCCAAAAATATTTTTTAAAGTTTAGATGATGAAATAAATTTTTTTTTAATTTAAGAAACATCACAATTATAGAAAATATGAATGAAAACAAAAGATGCACAGAGAACTGAGTCAGATGGTCCAATGTCCTAATAGTTCCAAAAAGTAAGAAAAGAGAAAAAGCCAAGGAGGAGGGAATTAATAAATAGTACAACAATATTTTCCATAGTAGAGGGAAGATATGCGACTTAGAATTTATAGAAAGAAGTCATGAGACTTAGAATTGGAAGGCCTTGTGAACTCAAAAGAAAAAGCAAAAGCCCACATATGGAGATACTATAAAACTTCTGAAGAAGTGAAATAATCAGGGACAGAGGAATAAAAATCAGACCAGCTTTCTACTTCTTAGCAACAACAGTAGATGTTAGAAGGAAATGAATTTAGCATGCAGTAGAAGCTGATTATTATTCTGTAGAGGGTAACGTAGCTCCCACTGGGGAGGCCAAACACGTGGCAAGAACACGCCCAGAAACATACTTGTCCTTGTCCACACATTCACTCTTTTTCTGGAGGCTCCATCTTGATAAAAGTTACTGTTTTCTACCTAGCTGCCAAGCCAGTGTCTCTATCCACCTCCCTCTATCCTAAGTCACAGACACTAAGTCCTGTGGCCCTGTCTTCTAGCCCCTCTGCAAGTAGCTGCTCCTCTCTACTTCCTACTGTCATGTGATTCTTGGGTCCAGCGTCTCCTCCAAGTCATGGCCACTGAGCAAGTTTTCTGAAATGCAGTGTCAGCCCATGTTGCTACCTGCTTACAAACTTTCAATGATCCTCCTCAGCTCTAAGATGAAGTTTGGAGTCTCTGATTTAGCTCACAAGTCTGCCCAGGTCAGTTTCTTCCTGCTTAACCAGACTTGGCCTCTCCTTTTTAGGTTCCTTCTACTTTACTGGACTCACCACACTGTGTCATGCATTGGGCATTTGCAGGTACCATTTTCTTTCCCCAGCAAGCTCACCCTCCTATGCCACCTAATTCTACTTTGGGCATCAGAGACTCAGGTAGAGTACCACCTGTTTGATAAAGATTTCCATGCTTTACCTTGCTTAGTTCTCTATCCTAGGCAAAGCCTACAGCCACCATATGCCTGCAAAAAGACTTTGGGCCAAAATGCAAAACCTTATTCAGTGTCCTCTATACACAAGGAGTTGTGCTGGTAACATAGAACTTACTGAGCATCTCTTTAAAAATTCACAATTTTGATAGGTGAACTGGAAAACCAAAACAGATAATCACATCAATAAGGAATTGTTGTGATAAATAGTTGGTCCTTCTGTTATGCCAAAGTGGAAGCCTGGACAGTGCAGGAAAAGGGTCATGGGGAAGTTTAGGGCTGAGTGGACTTGAGCTTTGGTAAAGGTAGATTAGGAGGCTGGAGAGATTGGCCGAAGCCACATGCAGGCAGCTAATGATTCTGCAGCCAGTCTGCTTCATGCAAGGCAGTGCTTCTTCCCTCCACTGGTGTGCATCTCTCCAAGCCGGTGACGCTGTAGTGCCCACATGCAGACCACACTCTTCCTCCCACAGGAGCTCCAGAAGTGACCTGATTCGGCACAGCTCACTCCCTGGAAACTCACTGATGCCCCTGGTCAGAGTTATATTTGAAAATGGAAGCTTTTGTAAATAAAGGGAAGAAGGGTTGAAGAGAGAGAAAGGAGATGGGGGAAAGAAGAATCAAGATGTACTGTGTACAGGTATGAATTCCCTAAGAAGAATGTGAGCATTATATATAGATCAAAAGTATACCAGTAACACTTTTCAAAAAAGAAAGAAAATGAATCCGTCTAACAGACTTAAGGAAGGTGCATTCCCTGCTGGCCATGGGTCTACGGTTGGCCTCAGTAGTAAACCACTCCCTTGGGCATCTGGAGTGTAAATTATGAACTGGCACATTAGTCAGTCACTGTAGGAAGCACCCCCACCTGCTGACTAACGGTGGATTCCTGTTCTTGTGTGAACCCTCCTCACTGAGTTATGGCCAACCAGGGACTAGTATGAGAATTTTGTGGCACCTTAGCTCCAGATGTGATTTATTTTCTAATTTGGGATCAAGAAAAGCATTCCCCATTCACACTGCAGCTTACTGGGCTCATACTTCTGAGGGCAAGTCAACGCACTGTCTTTGTCACAGTGGGAGCTATTTCCTCTCTGTAGCTTGCAGGACCATTTCCCTTTCCCTCAGTGGTGACTTCACCCAGCCTTCTCTCCTTACCTCTCCTTCCAAGGAACCCCAGAAGGACCCCGAGAAACCCAAGGAGATCTCTCATCTGCACCAATAAGGAAGATTATAGCAATGCCCTCTGATGTCAGGGCCAGTGCCCAGCAGGGCCTGAAAACTGCGTAGAAGGACATTTGTTCCAGTAAGTTCCTCTCTAATTCACGTTTTTTGTTTTTCTTTTTGAACGCCTGTCACTTTTTGGTGGGATGCATATATTTAGATTAGGAGTCTGCAAATTTCTCATGTAAAGGGCTGGGTAGTAAATATTTTCAGCTTTGTGGCTCTGTGGTTCCTGTTGCATCTACTCAATTCTACTGTTTAGCAAAAGCAGCCATAGACTATACATATATACATATATACATGAGTATTGCTGCATTTCAATAAAACTTTATTTACAAGTCCAGATTTGACTATCCTTTAACAAGCCCAGCCTTACAATGTTCCATTCAACTGTGGCCCCTTATTGAAATGTTCACCTCCCCACACTCCTTTGCACCAAGCGGGTAGTCGTACCCCACAAGGCGGCAGCAGACTGCCAGGAAGGATTTCTGGAAAAGCCTATGCTTTCCTAACAAGGATGCCATGGCCTCCTTCCTTTTTCTTATTCTTCCTTTAATATGGGAATGAGAGCTGGGAGAGCAGCAGCTATCTGGTGACAGTCAGGTTACGAGGAGGAAGATGGAGGCCTAGATCTAATGATGGCAGAGCACCAAGTAGAGCCCCCGATAGCAAATAAAATTATTTATTTAGGCCACAGTTGGCTTTTTTATTAGTATAGCTGAGCATACTCCTGATAGACATGCAGACAAAAACAACACATGTGCACTGTAAAAAAAATACTTAAAATATAGAAGAGATCTGGGGATTTATCTCAGCAGCATAAGCACCTGCCTGGCAAGCGCAAGGTTGAGTTCAATCCCCAGGACAAAAAATAAAATAAAATAATATAATACAATATAAAGTAATATAAAATATAGAAGAGTTGAAAGTAGAGGTGGAAATCAGGTGCAGAACCACCATCCATAGGCATTTAATATCACCAAATGAGGATGCCATCTTTAGCTACCCTTTAAGCCAGCTTACTTGGATCATTGCAAGGCAGCTGTAATTATACTCGTGGGTACTAAGCACCAAAAAGACAAGTCCAATTTCCTTACATATTCTTGCAAAAAAAAAAAAAAACACACCCCTGGATATTGCAAAATAAGGTTTTTACATCATTGGAGCAACACCACTCTTTTTTCCCCCAACTGTATGTTTATATTAGTACATGTTTGTAGGACATAATGATTACCTCACCTTGTAGGAAGTTGGTACATGTACATAACACATCCTAATTATTTTTTCTCCTCTCTTTCCCCTTACCCATGCTTCCTTCCCTTGGTCCTCTTCTCATTTGCAAAAGATCTGTCTCCTTATTTCCTATTATCTACATTGTATTTTGTTCCTTATTTATATTCTGGGTTTCTTATACAAAGAAACTATGCAATATGTAAGCTTTTGTGTCTGATTTATTTCACTTAGTATTATGGTTTTAAGGGACATCCATTTTCCTACAAATGACTCAAGTTTATTCTTCTTTACAGCAGAAGAGTACTCTGTTGTGTATACTACATTTTTTAGTCCACTCATCTGTTGGTGGACATACAGGCCATTTCCAAGATTTAGCTATCACAAGTTGCACTGTTATAAGCATGAGTGTGCATGTATCACTGTAATACTATCTTTAACTTTTGCGGGAAGATACCAAGAAGGAGAATACCTGGTCAAATAGAATTTCCATTTGTAGCTTTTTTTTTTTTTTTTTTGAGAATCTCTACTGATTTCCATGATGGTGGTACTAGTTTACATTCCCACAAGCAGTATAGAAGGCTTCCTTTTCCCCTGCAGTCTTGCCAGCATTTGTTATTTTTAATTTCTTAATGATAGCCATTCTCTCTGGAGTGAAATGGAACGTCAGTATTTTAATTTGTATTTCTCTAATGGTTAGAAATGTTGAGTGAATTTTCATGTAATTTATTGGCCATTGACACTTCTGCTAAGAAGTTTCTATTCATCTTAGTTGCTCCCTTTGGATTGGGTCTTTTATTTGGGGGGCATCTAATTTCTTTGAATGTTGTATGTATTCTAGACACAGTATTCATCATCTGTCTGAGGAATAGCTGGCAAAAATTTTTCCCATTTGCAATAGGACTCGAAATTTTAAAGCTATTGAATATTTTGGGTCCTGGACCATCTTTAAATGGATCCTCTTTTAAATAGCTAAGGAAAACCTTTCAGACTTGAAACTCTGCCTTAGGACTTACCCCCAGCTTCATCACACACACACAAACACACACACACATACACACACTTCCTTTTCATGGAGAAAGTTGCCTATAGATGCTGGGCGAGACCAATAGATTGGAGAGGCAGAGAAAAGAATTAGAAACTGAAACACAATGAAAAGGAAAAGTGATATATGGCAGAAGCAATATGACAAATGAGAACGAAAAGGATACAACGGCCAATAAACAGTGTTGGAACTGTTGCAATTTTAAATGGAAAACATGTAAATAAGTTTCTACTTCACCCTTTAGCCAAAGTAATTTTTAGAAGGATTAAAGACCTAAATACAAAATGTAAAACACAATCCTTTAAGCTTATTCAAAGAAAAAATATGATGATATCTTTATGTCCTTAGGGTAGGAAAGAATTTCTTGACAAGATATACCATGAAGAAAAGAGTTATAATTACAGCTACATTAAAATGTAAAACGTTGGCACATCAAAAGATATTATTTTTAGAATATAAAAAGATAAGCCTTAGCGTGGGAGAAATATTTGCACATACCACATAACTTACAAAAGCCTGTATCTCAATATATAAAGAAGCTTTCTAAGTTAATAAGAAAAAGGCAGCCACTGAGTAGAGAAATGGGAAAAGTTAAATAAGTAACACCAGGAAGAGAAAACTGAAGGAAATATTCACGTTTGAAAAATGCTAAGTTCACTAATAAATCAAGACCATGCAACTATGAATAAGTTATAGGTTTTTGCTCTTCTGCGTGGCAAAGGTTTTGGAAGTGGAAAAGATGAAAAGTGTATCAGTCAGCTTTTGCTGGGACCAAATACTCAGCATCCACTACTTAAGGGAAGAAATGGTTTATTTGGCTTATAGTTTGAGAGGATTCAGTCCACGGTCGCCTGGCTCCAAGGCAGGAGCATCATGGCAGAAAGCTGTGGCACAATGAAACTGCTCGGTTTGTGACTTCTGGGAAGCAAAACAGAGCAACTGTGCCAGAGGGCAAGGGTCATATCTCCATGGCCCACCCAGACACACCCAGAAATGTGCTCTACTAATCCCCTAGGAGACCTTCAAGCCAATCAAGTTGACAATTCAGCTTAACTGACACAAAAAGATGTGGGAATGGAGGAGCTTTACTGGCAGAAATGTATGTCAGTTTACCCATTTTGGAGATTAAGTCTGTAAACAAACCCTTATTGATAAACAACTCAGCAGGGCACCAGCAGAGATGGACTTATGTTTTTCCTCAAAGCTCCCCTTAACTCTGCTCTGCCTCATGGTCATTCTTCTGATTATGGGCTCTTCTAACACTGTAAATGTCAATAGGAAGCCTAATGCTGTGAAAGCTCTAACCCCAATGCAATCGATGGCACTATGGTTGGAGATAAGGTTTTAGGAGACACTGTAGACTGAATGTGGAGTCCTTCAAAATCCTTAGGCTAAGCCTTACTGCCTTATATGATGACATAAGAAAGTGATGCCTTTAGGAATGGGGTTAGTGCCTTTATAAAAGAGGCCCCAGTGAGTGCTTCTGCTGTTTCTCCTATGTGAGGACTCAGTGAGAAATCAGTTGTTTGTAGCCCTTAAAGTTGGCTGTCAATGAACAACAGATTTGTTAGCACATTATCTTGGACTTCCCAGTTTCCAGAACTGTGGGAAAATAAATTCCTGTTGTTTGAGCAACTTCATTTGTGATGTTTTGTTCTGATAACCCAAACAGACCTGATATGAAGCAAATGAGGCATCTGTCTGGGAAATACGAAAAATGACCCAAGAGACCCTCATTTGTGGGGTTTTATTTCATGTAAATGGTAATTCTCTCCCCAAGGAATAGATGTTTAGTAGAATTGCATTTAAAATTACAAAGGATTATTCTTTTATGGTGGCATGTGGACCCAATAATTTCCCAAGAGAAATGATGCAAGAATAAAAAATATTTTCTTAGAAAACAAAAATGGTGAGTGTCATTGTTTAATTATAAAATGTTTCCCTAAAACTCATGTATCAAAGCTTCATCCACAGTGCAGTGATGCTCAGAGGTGGAGCCCAGAGAGCAGAGTGGATGATGAGGACTCTCACCTCATCAGTGGACGGACCCATGGATGAGTTCATGGCAGAGTAGCTGTTAGAGGGTGGGGCCCAGTTCAGGAAGTGGGTACTGGGAGGGTGCCTTGGAAGGCAAAGAGATCTTGTCCCCAGACATTTCTCTCTCTTCTTCCAGCTGCCGTGAGTTCAGCAGTTGTGCTCTGCCTTACCTGTCCAACATGATGTTCCTGTCTTGTCATGGGCCTACAATCAATGGAGCCAGAAGACCATGAACTAAAATCTCTGAAACCATTTTCCTCCTTCAAATTGTTTATTGTGCGCAGTTGTTCCAGCAACAGAAAGCTGACTGACACAATGAGTGTGAGTGGGCTTCCTTCCCACGCAGGATAGACTCTGTGCCTTTGGTACACAAGTAGGCACAGGGTGAATCAGAAGAGTACGCAGAGCCTCACACATGAGTGTTTCCATGTGTACACATACATGTGTACTTGAGTATGTGTGCATGTGCTTTAAAGGTGGACTTTCAAAACAATAACAAAAAAAGCTTAGGCATTATTCACATAATTTGATATTCACCAAACATAGAAAACTAGATTCTTACCTAGTACTCATACAAATAAATTTCGGGTAAACAGACATTAAAGATTTAACAGAATTGTGGTAATCATTTTATTTGACCCTCTCTCCCTTTGAATCAGTTCACTCCCCAGGGAACAATCTAAAATAATCATGACAATCACATTTCCTTGAGGAATAATTGGTGCGTGACATAAGAAGAGTGTTGGAGTTTTGGGGGAAATTTTTTTTCTGATTTCTAAGAAAGAGATAGAGGAATATGCTCTTCATTTCTTTGGATTTGCTATAGAGTCTGTGCCTTTTCATAGCTGGGTGATAGAAGTCTGCAAATGTTTGCAGTGCTTACTGATTTTGCTAGTCAAACTCTATTTGAACTTTTTTTTTGTCTTTTTCATTTTTATCGGTACCAGGATTGAACTCACGACTGCACACTTGCAAGGCAGGCGCTTATGCCGCTGAGCTAAATCCCCAGCCTTATTTGAACTTTTTATAAAGGGAATGAATTTTCTTTTCTTTTTGAGCCAGGGTCTCACTGTGCAGTTCAGATTGGCTTTGGGTTCACTGTGTAGCCCAGGCTGGTATCAAACTAGCAATAATTCTCATGCCTCAGCCTCCCAAGAGTCCTGGGATTACAGACATAAGCCACCAAACCCAGCTTGAATTTGTTATCTCGTTGTGTGAACAGTTTAAAAAATTCTGGTTATGTTATTTAAACTTTTTACTTTAAATCCTTCCTTTGTTTACATTTTCTTGCCTCGTCCTTTACTTATAACCTTTTGATATAATTTTAAGTCATCTTTGGTAAGTAGCCATTGAATCACCTTGTTTTTTTTTACTCCAAATGAGAATCTGAAAATTATTAAAAGGGTTTAAAAGTGTTGACATGTGTTGACATAACCATTGTGCCTGCTGTTATTTTTGCTATCTTGCTTTATGCCTCAAGTTTTCTGTTGACTTTCTATTTTTTCTTGGGCTTCTGTATAGTATTGTGTTTGCTTTTATTTCTGCCATGATTTGGAAACTAGACTTCCTGCTTTAAATTCTGTGAATGATGACTGTGCAATAAACCACTTTTTAAATTCAAATGCATCAGGCTGGAAAACAAGTGTCTGAGTATTCTAGGAATGAAAAGTTTAGTACAGGACCCAGGGACTGGTGTAACTTTAAGTATCAGGGTGTAAAGGTCAACACTCGCACGTTCAACACCTGAGCCAGAAGGTATGAAGCAAGAGATTCATGGGACTCCCTAGAAGCCACTGTGAACCTTGGGCTGTCTTGTTTTCTAGCTGCAAGTATCTCGGAAGAACAATGACTTCTTTCAGACCTCTCAAGGGCATCTCTCCTGGGCAAAAGCCAACCCACAAGTGCATGGGAAGGTGACCCTGGGAACAGTAGTTCAGGGCTTCTCTGCAGCAATGTGAAATGCTAATGTGTAGATAATAGACAATCAGAAGAGCATACTTATTGTTTTATTTAAATAAAACTGGGCAGGGTAACACAGGTCTGTAGTCCTAGTACTCAGGAGGCTAAGGCAAGAGAATTGTGAGTTCAAAGCCAACCTGGACTACATAATGTGACTGTCTCAAAACCCCAACACAATTTTTTTAAAAAAGAAAATATACAACACTAATTTTACTCTTTATTATATGGAATGAGAAGTCAAATGTACTTCCGTCCTCAGCTCTCTCAATTTTTAGTAATTTTAGCCAAATGACTTAAAATATACTTGCCCATGTACTAATAGAGTTCTCTAGAGAAATAGAATCTGCCAGGCATGATGGTGTACACCTGTAATCCCAGCACTCAGGGGAGGCTGAGGCCGGATGCTAGCATGGGCTACAAAAACAAATTCAAGGCCAGTTTGCACAACATAGTGAGAAATAAGACAAAATGTGCAAAAGAGAGGTGGGGAGGAAGAGGGAGAGAGAGTAGAGAATATATGTGTATTTGCACAAGGAGAGTTACAAGGTAGGCTTCTACAATGGGTTTCTGTGCACTGCAGAACCAGGGGACCCAGCAGCTGCTCAGCTGAAGCAACAAAGTTAGTGTGAGAATTTGGGATTCATGTAAGATCCAAGTCCTACCAAGTAGCTTAGGTTATACAATGTTCTGAGTAGCTTGAAGAAGCTGTAAGCTATTCCATCTGGAGTAACACCCTTTTGTCCAGCAAATCTAGACCACATGTCATGGTTTGGATCTTGAATATCCCGCAAAGCTCAAGAGTTGAGGGTTTGGTCCACAGTGACTGGCCCTACTGAGAGTGTATTTGGGGTGCTAATTGGAGGAAGTAGGTCATTGGGAGTGCGACCTTGAAGAGGACATTGGGACCCCAACCCCTTTGCCTCCTGGGTGCCATGAAGAGAAAAGTATCATGGTTATCAGATTGACTGTCATAGTATTTTATTGCTTGTGATTAAGCAACCACTATTATACCTGAAAATGCCTCAAAGTGCAAAAGCAGTGATACTAGTATTTTGGATAGGGATAGTAGTAATGCCAAAGAGAAGTCACACAAAATACGCCCTTTAAGTGAAAAGGTAAAAAGTGGGGATGGGAGGGTGAGACAGACGTCAAGCTGATTGTACACCTATGTATAACCTCTGCTACTTGGAAGGCTGAAGCAGGAGTATCACAAATTCAAGGCCAGCCTGTGGAACTTATGGGAGCCCAGTCTCAAAATTTAAATAACATAAACAAATAAAAAAAGACTAGAGGTGCAGCCACCAGTAAAAGTAGTTTACTCGTAAAACATTTTCCCAGAATATGTGAAAGCCTGAGGTCAACACTCAGTAAAATACACACACACACACACACACACACACACACACACACACACACACGAGAGAACATGCACATTGTTGCAATAGTTCTATTTTTAGTTAATTGTTAATCTTGTACTGTGACTAACTTAGAAGTGAAACTTTATCATAATAGTGTATGTATAAAGACCATAGTTCACTATATCTACAGGACCCCAGTACCAACCATGGTTTCAGCATCCATTTGGAGTTTTGTAACATATCCCCTGTGGGTAAGAAAGAAATCACTACTTGCTCCCAATTTTTTCCTTCTACTGGCCTTGAGACCTTCCTTTGGACTCATTTCGTGATGTTTTAGTAGAGATTCTCAAGGACTCTTAAGAGGAGGAAGTGAGACATATTTTCTGCGTTCTTGCACTTTTAAGTATCCATTGTTGTATCACAAAAATAATCAGTTTTTCTGAATTTATAGATACTGCCCTCATTCTCACAGATCAGTTTAGACATTTCTGTTTGTGAATTTTAATTTTTATTAGTACGTGCTCGCAGGCCCTAGTGGTTACACTCACTGTGCAGAGTTAGTGAAGGGTGCCTACACTTTTTAACACCCCTAGTCGTGAAAGGACAGTGTAAGGCCAATTTCTGTTTTTGTTATCAGTAGTCTCTTTTTTAGATTATATATTGCTTATGTTGAAATTTATTTTGTATTGCTGAGAGTTTTGTAGCTGTTGATCATTTGAAATAAACCACATTAAATACATACTCAATTAGCTTGATTTCCTTTGTAAAGTCCAGAATACTTTAATTTATTATTGCCCAGCTTTTCTTCCTCAGCAGTAGTAGTCAGATAAATGCTGTTCTCTCTTTTCTGTATTATTTTTAATCCCTCACTTATAAATCTATATTCTGTTTTCTAGTATAGTTTTGCTATTTTGTTCTCTCATTAATATGTTTTTTGTGTACAATGCTACATTTACTCTTTTTCTATATTCTGAGTGGATACACTACATACTGCATTTTAAATTCTGCAAAGTGGCTGACTTAGCCTCTTGGATTTCAATATGCTTTGCTTGTCCTTAAATTTGATCTTAGCCAAAAGGCTGCAAAGAAGATGCCTTGTTCTTATCTAGTAGGATTACTTGAGTACTGGCTTATAGAAAACACATAGCAAACAGTTTCTAAAAGCACTTTGAATAATTTTAAAAATTTATTTCAAAGGGAGAAAAATCTACATTGTACTTCAGAATAACTGGCCCATTTCTCTCCTCCTGAGTTAAAGTTTCTGCTGTAGGCCTGTGTTAATTCTTTTCTATGCAGTCATCCTAGTAGAGTGAACTATATTCAGACTGGGGCTGGAGGCATAAACATAATCTACTCAATTTCAGGCTGGAAAGAGAGGATAGTAAGAATAAGAACTCTTTTGGCACATTTGACCTACATTGAAGACTCTTGGACACAGTCAAAGAAACACACACTGCATAAAATGCCCACACGCCAATTGGTGGGTTCTGTCCTAGAGCAGAAATTGAAATATCTTGCATGACTAAGCTGGAAAGCCATGATGCACTCCAGTGCGTGTTGAGAAAGCTCTGTGCCTGCCTTCCCTCAAGAGGCCAGCTGTCAATTCTGACGCATCCTTCAGGAGATTACTTCATTTTCTCCAGAATCTGGAGAATGCACACCCCTTGCTCACACCCAGCAAGGACGGGCTTGCGTAGTACAGTGTCTCAAACCTTGGGTCAAAAGTGGAAAAGATGTGATTACCCTGGAAGCAAAGTATGGCCATTTATTCATGTTCCTAGACATATGCAAAAAGACAAATGGAATTTAAAACAAAAGTACAATAGTTTCCAGGCAGGGACTGAGCCAAGGAAGGGGCCCAGGCCCTCCCCCTTACCCAGAGCACCCTTCAGTCTTGGCATCCTGTCCCCTGAATCAGAGTCATTGTCTGGCTCTAATGCAAACACTGGCTCTATTGTGACTCTGCGGGCTGCAGCCCCACACGCTCTGCTTTCTGCCCGCCTGGGGCTTCTCTGGGTTTATCCCATTGAGCTGTGACTCCGGTGGTGAGCCAGAAGGGCCTCCATCCAGGGTGTGCCATGGGGATTTGTGCTGAGTTATTGCACAAGAGCTGCCAGGTAAATCCCTTTGCAATCCCAGGGGAGATGGCAAGTCAGGGGCAGAGTCTGGGCGCTCTCTGTGTGAATTCAGGAGTTTGGGTTGGGAAAAAATTTTTTAATGACTTAAGTTTTTTTACTTTTTTCTACCGTACTTGAATGGACCTCAAATGCTGTGGAAATTTCTAGAAAAATATATGATACACATGTCGAATGTCCTAAGGTGCTCTCATGAAGTCTAGAGCATGGGCAGTCTGAAATAAATGAAGCTGCCCTCAAACTTCCCAAACTTAGTATGCATGAGACTTACATATGGAGTTTGCAAAATGCAGATTCCTGAGCCACATGCCCTGGGATTCTGATCCACAGGTCTAGAGCTGGGACAAGGAATATGAAGTGTTTCTAATGCAAAAAAGTCACATAATAAACCCCACTTTAAAAGTCCTGATTTGGGGTTGGATAGAAGATGGAGCACAGTGATAGAGCAGTGCTTATCATGTGCCATGCCTTGGGTTCAATTCTCAGCCCCAACAAAAGTGATTTATAAGGGTGCTGGTGAAGTCAGTATCTGGGCCAAGAATGGGTTTCTCGGGAACTTCAGAGGAATGACTATGCATCTCCTTCTACTGTCTGCCTGTTTCAATCACTGCATAGCTTTTAGGATAGGTGGGGCTATCGCAGAGGTCACGGGGAGAGCAAGTAAGGGAGGAAACTTTCCTTTCACTGGTGGTGGAAGGATGAGCTCAGTTGGGAAACCCGAAGGACAGAGAGGGACAAAGAGTATTTCACTATCATTCAATCCCTGCCTGGCCGCACCCCCTCCAAGGGAACCCACACTGATTTCCAGAGGGGGACATATCAAGGACCACAAGAAGGTGCCTCCCCAGATCCAGCTGACTGGACCACGATTCCAGGCAGTTCTCAGGTGATTCAGGGCATGAACTGGCAAGAACTGGTGAAGCAGGCCAATCAGACCGCCTCTGCTGGAAACTGGGATTGGAAACACGGAGAAGAACTCAAGCTGGTTATCAGTAGGTCACAGCTTATGGAAAGGTCACATCACAGCAAGAGAGGCTGGGGAAACCGGGATAAACCGTAAGTAAGGAGAGGATGCTGGGGAGCGGAGAGAAGACAAAGGAGCAGCTTCATGTGCAGAAACAGAACATTC